AAAAATCAATACAAAATTTATGAAATAATAAAATCAATTGCAGATTTTTTTGCCCTTAAAAATACTAAACAAAATAATAATTCTTTAAATATATTTGTAAAAAAGCAAATTTTCATCAAATAATATTTTTTTATTTCTTACCATAATTTACATTTAATTTAAAATATTCTCTTAATGTTTGTGTTACTCTGATCATATATTCTTATTGTCAGCGGTTTATTTTTTTATACAATTTAATTTTTTCTTCGTATTTCTCACATGTTTTATGTTATTTTATCTATGATTTAAATATTTTATTTAGTTTTTTTTTTCTTTTTTTCATTGTTAGCAAAATAAATATAAAAGTTTGTAAATTGAAAAAAAAAAAAAAAAAAATGATTTTGCTACGTATTTATAATACCAGATACAACTCATAAAGAAAATCAAGTTAAATATTGTTACAAAGAAATAAAATTCAAAAATTTATGCGCTCAGACACATTACACTAAAGAAAGAATATTTTGTTGTTAATCTTGTACTTTTTTTTATTTGCAAATTTTTCTTTAGTATAAGTATTTGCTTTAAAACTGTGTTGATTGCAAGATTTTCTTTTATGGGACACATTTTAGTTAGTTTGTTATACAAATATTTATTTATTTACTTATTTATTTATTTATTTGTTTTCTTTTACTAATATTTATACATAGAAATATTTATGTTTTTATTAAATATATAAGTAGTAATTTTATTTAGATTTTATTTAATAGTTTTATTTTCTTGTTTATACACAATCAGTCACATAAGTTGATTTTTATTTGAAATTATTTTAAATAAACTTTAAAATTTATGCATATTGTTTAGTAATTATATATGTTTATTTAATTCCTAACTAATTTTATAATATACAACACATTTATTTAAATTACTTTTAATTTTTTTTATTTGATTTTTTTTAATAAATTGTATACACTTATAGTTGTTTTATTTGCTTAAATTTTATTTTATATTAAAATATTTTTAAAAGCTCTTTTATTTAATTTGTTTTAAAATTTATTTTCTTATAAATAGCTTTTTGTTGAATTTTTGCTTTGCAAAATATTTTATAAATTATACATTTCGAGCTTAATTAAATTATATAAACTAAAAGTTATTTTTATTTTATTTTATATACAATTAAGTAAATTTGTTAACTATACAGCGAGATAATGGATCTTTTTTTCTTTTAAATCAAAAAGCTTAAAATCTGAAATTTAGAACAAAAATTAATGGATTTTAAATTGTTATGAAATATTTCACTTAGAAGAATATTTATAAAAAATCTTGAAATTTCTCAGGCTATCGATGAAAAAACTATGGATTTTGAGTCTAGTCTATAGTCTAGTCTATAGTTTAGTCTATAGTCTAGTCTATAGTCTAGTCTATAGTCTAGTCTATAGTCTAGTCTATAGTCTAGTCTATAGTCTAGTCTACAGTCTAGTCTATAGTCTAGTTTATAGTCTAGTCTATAGTCTAGTTTATAGTCTAGTCTATAGTCTAGTCTATAGTCTAGTTTATAGTCTAGCCTATAGTCTAGTCTATAGTCTAGTCTATAGTCTAGTCTAGTCTATAGTCTAGTCTAGTCTATAGTCTAGTCTATAGTCTAGTCTATAGTCTAGTCTATAGTCTAGTCTATAGTCTAGTCTATAGTCTAGTCTATAGTCTAGTCTATAGTCTAGTCTATAGTCTAGTCTATAGTCTAGTCTATAGTCTAGTCTATAGTCTAGTCTATAGTCTAGTCTATAGTCTAGTCTATAGTCTAGTCTATAGTCTAGTCTATAGTCTAGTCTATAGTCTAGTCTATAGTCTAGTCTATAGTCTAGTCTATAGTCTAGTCTATAGTCTAGTCTATAGTCTAGTCTATAGTCTAGTCTATAGTCTAGTCTATAGTCTAGTCTATAGTCTAGTCTATAGTCTAGTCTATAGTCTAGTCTATAGTCTAGTCTATAGTCTAGTCTATAGTCTAGTCTATAGTCTAGTCTATAGTCTAGTCTATAGTCTAGTCTATAGTCTAGTCTATAGTCTAGTCTATAGTCTAGTCTATAGTCTAGTCTATAGTCTAGTCTATAGTCTAGTCTATAGTCTAGTCTATAGTCTAGTCTATAGTCTAGTCTATAGTCTAGTCTATAGTCTAGTCTATAGTCTAGTCTATAGTCTAGTCTATAGTCTAGTCTATAGTCTAGTCTAGTCTAGTCTAGTCTATAGTCTAGTCTATAGCTAGTCTAGTCTATAGTCTAGTCTATAGTCTAGTCTATAGTCTAGTCTATAGTCTAGTCTATAGTCTAGTCTATAGTCTAGTCTATAGTCTAGTCTATAGTCTAGTCTATAGTCTAGTCTATAGTCTAGTCTATAGTCTAGTCTATAGTCTAGTCTATAGTCTAGTCTATAGTCTAGTCTATAGTCTAGTCTATAGTCTAGTCTATAGTCTAGTCTATAGTCTAGTCTATAGTCTAGTCTATAGTCTAGTCTATAGTCTAGTCTATAGTCTAGTCTAGTCTAGTCTAGTCTATAGTCTAGTCTATAGTCCAGTCTATAGTCTAGTCTATAGTCTAGTCTATAGTCTAGTCTATAGTCTAGTCTATAGTCTAGTCTATATTCTAGTCTATAGTCTAGTCTATAGTCTAGTCTATAGTCTAGTCTAGTCTATAGTCTAGTCTATCGTCTAGTCTATAGTCTAGTCTATAGTCTAGTCTATAGTCTAGTCTATCGTCTAGTCTATCGTCTAGTCTATCGTCTAGTCTATCGTCTAGTCTATCGTCTAGTCTATAGTCTAGTCTATAGTCTAGTCTATAGTCTAGTCTATAGTCTAGTCTATAGTCTAGTCTATAGTCTAGTCTATAGTCTAGTCTATAGTCTAGTCTATATTCTGGCATGTAGTCAAGTCTTGTTTGTTTTTCTTTTATGTTTGATAATGCAGTTTGATCAGTAATGCAGTTGTAATATTCGTTCTTTGAAGTTCTTTGAACGGTTGATAATTTATATAAAAAAAAAAATGCTCAAATTTACTTACATAATAGCATTTTAAGTCATTAATGGCATTAGTGGCAAGTACTTACGGCGCTCACTTACAAGTAGGAAGTTAGGTAAGCACTTACAAATCAGAGGTTATATAAGTAGTTTTGTTTTTGAGGAAAAAGTCTACTAGAAAAAGTTAAGGGGTAAATTTTGCTCTTCTTTGTTATTGAATATTTTCAATTAATTAAAACCATCAAATTTCAATGAAAATTTAGAATACTGCAAAATTTTCTATTACAAATATTACATCTACCAACAACAACAAAAATTATAAATACAACTCACCACAGTCACGTAACATTTACATGGAAAAATTAAATTTTGCTCAACAAACAATATAACAACGAAAGAAAAAACAGAGGCTTTCAATTTAATAAAACATTTCATGAGAATTAAATGTCAAAAAAGTGACATGACAAAATTTTATAAAATTTCTCTACTATTAGCTAAATTTTGGCTAGCAACTATATAAAAGAGAAATAAAAACAATACAACATGATTAATGTCAAATGTAACGGATCCTTAAACAAGGACGAAAAGTTAAAAATAAAACTAACGTATTTCTAATGAAAATTTTAGTATTTTAATTACCACACAAATGTTGCGACATCATTAATGTTTAAACTTTAACAAATTTTAAAAGTCTGTCTGCAGTTTTAAAACAATTTTATAATAAAAACTATTTTTTATGTTTATTTTTTTAGTTTTGTTTTTAGTTTAATTTTGCATTATCGATTTGTTTATACAAGAGAGAGAGACAAAGGATGTTGCAACAATTTTAGTTACACAGACACATACAATAACATTCTGCCACAATGACAAAGTTTTTTAAAACACGGGGAAAATGTACAAAATGCAAAATGTGCAATAAAAAAAAGTAAAATAATGTCATTGAATAGTACAGATAGATATTCAATTTGTTATTGTAGAGTATGCTGTGTGTAGTTATGTTTGTTTTATTTGATTGTTCAGTTTTTTTATGTACATTTCACTGCCTCATAGTCTGACAAACTCACATACATACATATATAGTAGAACATCCGTTTCCACATTGCACTTCCGGCGTCATATTACTTAGCTTTGTTATATAAAAGCTACAACAATTTTTATGTGTATTATAACAAAAGAATGAATTTATTTTTGTTGTAACTAAAAAAAGGAAAACCTACAAAATAAAATAGTTGCAACATTCATTTATGCATGAGCATATACTAAGTATGCTGACGATGATGTCGTTGCAGTTTGAATCTATTTGTGTGTCTTTTTGTTCTCACATATCCTGTTCAAAGAAAATCGAAATATTTGAGGTTTGTTGTAACTTTTGTAATGGTACTGCGAAAAAGAGAAAACTTTTCAATATGAGAAATTAATTGAAATATTTAGAAGATTTGATGTTGGTTACGATGACAGTGGTATTGATTTCAAGATTTTGTTAACGCTCATTAGCGGGTTGAGTGAGAAAAGTTAAATTCTAGGAAAAAGTTCTCACATTCGTGAGAAGGATTATGTATATAAGAGTTTGTCATTCCGTTTTGCAATTTCCACAATAGAATTTTCCGATCGTATAATGTATCTTTATTCTGGATTCTTAGCGGAGTCGCTTAAGTCATGTCTGTCCGTCTATCTGTCTGTCTGTTTATCTGTCTGTCTGTCTGACTGTCTGTCTGTCTGTCTGTCTGTCTGTCTGTCTGTCTGTCGTCTATATGTCCATCTGTCCGTTGAAATAAATTTTCTGAAGACCCCAGATCTAAACCAATCATTCCATCAGTCATGCTATCGAGAAGGTGCCTATTTAAAATCTGGAAAATCGGTCCATAAATAACAGGCAAAACTCCGATCCAAACTGATATACATATGTATGCTTAGTTTCTTCAAGTTAAAACAAAAGAAAATAAATTTCAATAAAAAATATTTTATGTTTTATAAAATTGTAACACTAATTTCAACTTAAATTTACTGAAAATCGTTTCAACGTTAAATTTATTTTTATTAAAAAAAAAAATATATAAAAACTTAATTAAATTTTTTACAAATATAAAAAAATAATAATATAAAAACCTGTACAATTGAAGCGGCCATTAATGTTTTGTATAAAATGGTGTGGGAAAAGGTTTCCCCAGTCCAAGAATACACTTCCAGCTACTTTATTAATAATAATTAGTTTCATTCATATACATATCTAGCCAACGATTCATTAAATGGTTTAACATGTTAATTGTTTTTTAAGCTTTAGGATGAAACATTAAGTCATTTTTTTCATTATAAAATGCAGTTGTAGGAGGCCTATGGAAATTCTTAATATTTAAAGTTGTTATTATATACTTTCTTTTAGGGATTGTGTATTCAATTGTCTTATTGTTATAATATCCTTTGGTTTTCTATAAATATTTTCATCTGTGAAATGTTGGCGTTGATATTGTTGTTGTTGCTGCTGCTGTTGTTGTTGCAACATATTGATGTCGTTAATATCTTCATACTGCATATTATTATGATCCATTTCTTCGTGCAATTGTTGCTGCTGTTGTTGGAGATGTTGTTGCATTATGGCCTCCGCATTTTTATTATTAACAGGATGGTGGAATTGATTGTTATCGTTGTTGTTGTTGTTGTCGTTACTATTATGATTGTTATTATTGTTGTTACTGTTGATATTTGTATTTCCTGGAGCAAATGTTTCATTGATGGTATTATCATCGTCTTCATCTGTATTGGAATTTTTAAGTTGTTGTGGTGACATTTTCAACACTTCTTTTGCTTTATTTTCCCATAATCTTCGATTGGCTCTTAGCTGTTTGAAATCAACCATGAATGATTTCACACAAAAGAAGAGAAAAAAGTTTATAAAATACGTAAGAAGAATATATATTGATTTTTTATATAATTTTCACCATAATCACTTTAAGTTTTTTTTTTTTTTGATTTTAATGCATGCACATTAAGCGCATAAATATTATAAAAAAAGAAATATTTTAAAAATGAAAGAACATTAAAAATTACTTAAATCTCCGTATGAATATGTACTTATTAGGAGGCTCACTTTAGTTGTGAGTTAAAAAAATTTTAAATGTTTTTTAAACATTTAGAACGTATGGACATGACTGAATCAAGTTGTTAGAAACAAATGTTTTATATTCAGACAACTGACGCATTTCGTTCAAAATCTGTACTTAAAGTCAGAGGCCAAACTTCGCATTCATTATCGTGTTCTGTTCTAGAGTTTGTTATAGAACTGAAATCTATTATTTTTTGGCGATAACTTCGCTTACACGATCGTAACTAACATACACACTAACTAATCCTGACTTTATTAAACATGTAAATTCAGGTTTAATCGTGACTTAACCGATCCTTTGAATCAAGCTGATATTATGAGTCTAATAATAATCATGTTGCTGGCAACATTAACAAACCGATTGCCTCCTCCGTAAATGCACTCTCTTAAGGTCTCCTGCATTGACATATGTCAAAACTAATAGAAGAGCTCATTGCTCTCTTATTACCGATGTTTATTTTAAACACTTTTAACATGTTGGTAAACTTTATTTAAACATGTTGCCAGATACTTCGTGAAACTAACTAACTAACTAACTAACTAACTAACTAACTAACTAACTAACTAACTAACTAACTAACTAACTAACTAACTAACTAACTAACTAACTAACTAACTAACTAACTAACTAACTAACTAACTAACTAACTAACTAACTAACTAACTAACTAACTAACTAACTAACTAACTAACTAACTAACTAACTAACTAACTAACTAACTAACTAACTAACTAACTACTAACTAACTAACTAACTAACTAACTAACTAACTAACTAACTAACTAACTAACTAACTAACTAACTAACTAACTAACTAACTAACTAACTAACTAACTAACTAACTAACTAACTAACTAACTAACTAACTAACTAACTAACTAACTAACTAACTAACTAACTAACTAACTAACTAACTAACTAACTAACTAACTAACTAACTAACTAACTAACTAACTAACTAACTAACTAACTAACTAACTAACTAACTAACTAACTAACTAACTAACTAACTAACTAACTAACTAACTAACTAATAACTAAGAAATGCGATATTTCAGTTGTTGAGTTAATTTGGCATCAGAAGTTAATGTTATGCACCAAAGTTTTAACATACGATTTATATTCTCAACAAATTTCTGGACATTTTAATTGAATGAATATTAAGCGAATCAATGTCACCTCATGATATTTTGGACCATCTGTGAAAAATTTGGTCTTAAAAACATAATAAACATGTTATTTTAATATCACAAAACTGCAGCCCTCCTAATACATATGATAGAGAAATATAAAATAGTGATAAAATAAAATCATTTATGCATTATGCCAAAAAACGTGCAAGAGAATAAATGAATGATGAAAAATATTTGCGAGTAAAAAAATATATGAAAAGAATTCACAAGCAAATGAAATGAAAATAAATATTAAAAAATATACATACATTAAAATACTTAAATACTATAAATAATATAAAAAAAAATACATTAAAAAAATCAAAAGGTGTGCAGCTTATACATTTTAAAAGAATATTTAAAAAACAAAAAAAAAGTAAATACCCTCTGTCTGTTTTATTATTTTGTTAATATGTATGTTGGTAAAGTAATAACAAATAATGATTTTTCACATCCTTTTTACACGTACTACAATGTTGATGTAGTATGTGTTTTATAAGGATTTTTCTTTATTTACAACACTTATATGATTTCTGTAAACAAAAACAAACATCTTTTAAAAGGAAACGGAAATACAGTTTGTGTTAATGTTTGTAAAACTGTTGAAGCATGTGTATAGAAATTACTACATGGTGTTGGTTAAAATGACAAACAATTTGAAATTTGTAAACAGTAAGCAACAATTGAGAAAAGACAAATGTTTTTTTTTTTTTTTTGAAATTAAAGAAATATATACATTTTAACTGCAGAATCATAGAATTTCTGAACATTTTTAATTCACAAAAACATTTAACGCTTGTTAAAGCTAAGATCTAGTAGTTTTTTTAATCAACATTTAATGAATTTTTAAAATTTTGAAATATAAAATATGTAAGAGCATCATATTCAAGTGATGTGTACCACATGTTTACGTTGAATGCAATACTAATGTATAATACTCATACGCACTGTTGCACATGTACAGGAAAAACATCAACTAACTAACTAACTCCCCATATGTTGAAAGCAAAACTAAACAACAATACTATAACTACTAACTTACAAATAAATACAACATGTAGTATACATAGTATTATTTGCAACACTATGTCTGAACTTGCATATAAGTACAAGAATATTAAACAAACATTTAACATCTGTTATTAAAAACAACCATACAAACTGTAAAATAAAATCTTTTTGTTTTTCTCATAAAAAGAAATGTTGAAAAAAAAGGATAACAATAAAAAACTGTAAACATTTCTTCATCTGCTTATTTCATCTACGGTTCAGTTGTACGACAAAGTGTTTTAAACTTCCTTTAATTATTTTTTTCCCATGTCTCTGAGACATGAAAACAAAGCCAATTTTAATTGAAGAATGATGGGGGAAACATACATACTGGAGGTACTAGAGTGTAAAACAACAGAATGAAGCAAATGTGTTTGAAATTAAACCCTTTTCTGTAAACACGTTACATTTGGCAATGAAACAATATTTGTGGTTTTGGTGGATAATTAAGTTTTCTTTTGAGGCGAGAAGGTATTATTAATTTAAATACTTTTGTGGTAAAAAAAGTTGAGTAATAAACACAGATAAATCTGTGACATGTACTAACATATTAATAACGATTTCATTCAAACAAATTATCCAGATTATGACTTTCTTATGAATTCTTCAGTTTACTTAGTGCTTTCAACAGACAAACGGACGATATAAAGAAGTTTTAGAAAAAAGAAAACAAGTATGAATGTGTAGTCGGGCATGGCCGACCATATGATAAAAAAAAATAAAGCATTTCATTTGTTTTTTAACTTTATTCCGGAATATTTTTACTTATTGTTGACAACAAAAGAGATTTTCTACAAGAGGGCTCATAGGGGAGTAGGATATACCCATATTTACCGGTCTATCCTTATATATGTTGGTAGAGGAATTTACGTCTACTTCAAAGTTCTTTATGTAGAATTTAATCGTGTTATTAGTGTTTATAAGTGAATTTTGACCTTCAAGTCAATTTCTGAAGGGGAGTTTGTATGCGTGCTAGGGTCAAATGAGGCCCGATCATAACAAAAATCGATAGTGTTATTGAAAGTTCTGTAAAACTAAGTTTTGCCGATTTTTGTTGACATAATAGAACATTTAAGTAATTATGAGCCCAAAGGCCCTATTCGGGGGGTACGGTTGTATGGGGGCTAGGCGAAATAATGGACCGATTTAAACCATTTTCAATAGCGTTCGTCCTTGGACCAAAAGAAGAGTATGTGAAAATTGCGACCTGTAGCGTGCGCACAAGACTTACATGGGCACACAGATGGATGGACGGACAGGCGGACATAGTTAAATCGACTTAGAAAGTGATTCTGAGTGGATTGGTATACTTTAAGGTGGGTGTAGGACCAATATTTTTGGATGTTACAAACATCAGCACAAACGCATAATACCCTCCTCCCTATAGTGGTGTAGTATACCTATGGACTCAAAATTACTTTATAAGTCGATCAAGCTATGTCCGTCCGTCTCTATGTCTGTCTGTGTGTCCCTGTAAACCTTGTACGCACGCTACAGGTCGAAATTTTCAAGATAATTTGATGAAATTTGTCATATACTCTTCTTTTGATCCAAGGACTATTAAAAATGGTTAAAAACGGTCCATTATTTCGCCTAGCCCCCGAATAGGGCAAAAATCGGCCAAACTTAGTTTTATAAAAGTCTTAATGACACTGCCGATTTTTGTAGTGATCGGTCCCCTTCAAAAAATGACATGAAAATCAAAATTCACTTATAAATTCCTCCACCAACATTTATAAGGATAGGCTAAATATGCGCCTTACCCCCATATAAACGCTCTTGCAGAAAATCTCCTTTTTATTAAGGTAAAAGACAAATTAAATGCTTTATTATTAAAGACATAATCACTGGTGTAGGGTATCATATGGTCGGCCATGTTTTTAGCTGTATACCTTTTCCCACGAATGTTTACAAAAGCCGCAGAAAAGCTGATTTTAGACTTTTGTAAATGTCAAAAGTGACACACCTCTGTATACTTTGTGATTCCCGGATTGCCCGAGGTGTTTAGTGTTTTTTTTATAAAACTACAGTACAAATTAGACCAATGTATACAAAAGGTACCATTTTAATTATTTTACTTTGAAAGAATGAATGACGAAAAAGTATTTGTTGATGAGGAACAACACAAACAAAAAGTAACAAACTAATTTTTTATCTCTTTTGTAACCATTTGGTTTAACATTTTAAGTCTGTAATGATAGGAATCGAACTCACGATCTACATATTCTAGGAAATCTTATTTGAATGTTATAATATTTTACTTAAATTTTCTTTGGATATTTTTTGTAATGGAAAATTTAAAGTTACAAATCAGTATTACAGTTGCATGAAAAATAAATGAAACTCTTAACAGGAAAACAATTATTAACATTTTATTAGAATATCTAGAGTGAAATCTCTAACAAGTAACTAATAAAAGTTTAGGAAATTTCCTTAAATTTATAGATACAAATTAAGAAATTGCAATAAAACTAGTAAGGAGAATCGTAAAAATGTTGCTTTATATTACAACA